ATCTAATTGAGATTAAAATAAAATATTTGTTTAAAATTTAAAGAGCAAAAGGGGCTAAATTAAAACCCTGATTTTTTTTTTTCTGAAAGACTCTGAAAATAATATCCCCCAGATAAAGCTGAAAAATGGTAAGAGTTTACTTCACCCTAATTCATTCATTCATCAGGAGCCATGGCACGAGGCTGCCTCTTTTGTATTCTACTCAATTCCTTTTGATTTCACTTGACTTTGTGACTTTACAGAGCTAAAAGACCTCACTAAAACAAGCCCAGCAGCAGTCCTCAGACATGCTGTCACTGATTGTGTTTCTCACCTGATTTCTACCCACAATGCACTTTATTCCTCGGTGCTTCCTGACCAGGACCTTCACTCAACATATTTTAATCTGTATTAGAAACAGTCTGATGGAAATGGTCACTGACAGTGCTGAGGTGAACTTTACTTGCAGCCCTGTTGCATAATTAACAAACAGATCTGTATTCTTTCTAGATCTGTTATGTATTTATTAGTCTTTGAATGTCAAGCGTTAGTGTGTGCTTCCTGCACGCTGGACACTTCAATACAATAAAAAAACAATACTCACAACAGCACTTCTTCATATGGATTTATTAGTGGAAATGGGCTTTCACAAATTCCCTAATTGATAGTTGGTAGCAGCAGTAGACTGCACCTGTAAAGTGCCTTAGATAAAACCCTGTCGTTTGTGATCTTGGACAAGAGACTAAAAACAGGAGCTGGGCCGTTTTTTTGTCCCTGACAGTTCTTCAACAGTGAGTACCTCCAGTCCTGACTTAAGACTCTTGGCAAAGACTGATGCAAATATTTTGGTGTTATTGTTTAACAGCGTGACAGTTTCCAGTTTTTACAAATCCAGTTTATTTTCATCAAGCATTTCCCCCGTGTACAATTTACTGGCCACAGTTTGCAATGAACTTATCACCTTGGGAAACATTATCACTGATTTTAAGTTTACTTATCAAGGACATTTTAAAGTTTCTTTTTTCCAGTTTAAAGAAGTATTTAGCGCATTTTTCTCCTTGTTCTAGCCATTTTCTTCTACTTCAAATTTAAGCACTTTTTGAGATTTCTTCATGTTTAATTACGTACTTCAAGTTCTGTTTGCTCATCCTCAGTTGAGATTACTTTTTCAACCAATTCCATCATTTTAGTAACAATTTGCAGTTCATTTTCCTTTTTTGCTTTAGACATTTTTTTTGCAAAATAAAATGACCAACAAGATTTCATCAGTTCATAAGACTTCCCATAACAGTGTCATAGCAGCTATTCTCCATAGTTTTTCAATACGTTTACCCATTTGTTTAAGGAAGTCTCCATTGATTAGGGTTTTATTGAATTTCAAGTAATCCATATTCTATCTTGGCCTTTTGGATGAGACAGTTATTTCAACAGTAATTGCTTTGCGGTCCAAGAATACGGTAGGTGTCATTTCTGTTGTTTCCACATTATTAACATTTGCTGAGAAGTCTAATTGTGACTGTAAGGACATGTCTGTGGTGTTCCACATTTTCGTGTCTGGGTTTTTATATCTCCAAATGTCAATCAAGTTCATTCTGTTGCATGTGTTCATTTGACTTTTGGTCTTTTGGGGAAAATCTATCCACCCTGTCTCCATTACAGTATTAAAATCCCCACTCCAAATGATTTTGGCTGAAGGAAATTTTGATAACCACTTAATTACTGAAACTAAATAAAGTGAGAATAACAAAGCATTTACCGTTTTACTGTTAGCTGCACAAACATCAAAATAAATTGTACCTGATCGATTTCAATAATTAACATCACCCAGCATCCCTCATCGTCTGCAAGATGTTGATCTACCTGCCTCCAGAAGTTCCCTTTTAATATAGTGCCCCCTGAAGTTCCCTCACAAAATCTGTAAGTGAATCACATGTTACACACTGATTCTTGTAGGGCATTTCTCAATTCCCAGGATCCTTCCACCAAACACCACTTTGTAGCACTCTTCCAGAGTATTCAGGTGTTTTTAGGTGGCATGCATTAAAACGTGTGAATAATGAAGGCTGAATGTATTCTGTAAGATGATCATCAGCCTACATAAATTAATACACATGCTGAAACATTTTCAGAGGAATGTCCAGTTGTATTCCAAATCCCCTTCTTTCAGAGATTTTACTGCATTTTTCCTGATTTGAACTCATTCCATCTGATGGCAATGTTACCTGCAGTAATGTGACTAAAACAGCAAAAATATGTTTTATTGTAGAATGAGTTTTAGTTTATTGAAATGCATTTTACTGCTGAAAGATAGTAAAAAAATTATAATAATAAAATAAAATGAAGTTGCAGTGTATGGATCCATCTGTGCATCCTTAGTAAAAGAGCCAAACAGAAAAGTCATGCGAGGAGGACATGAGGCTTTGGCGGAACAGCACTTAGCGGAGCTCTGATGATGTGGATCTAAAATGGATCAGAAGCAGAGGATCCAGGGAAACACCAGTCGATTTAAGTCCTGTGAACCTGCATGTGAGAAAAAGGTATTCTCCCTCTCTACACCTCCCTACTTTTTTTTTTTTTTACTTCTATTTGTTTTGTTATTGACAAGTGTAACTTGTGGAAGGAACAAGTTTGCTAAGTCCCACAAATAGATGTGCTGTTCATAAATTTTACAGAGAAATCAAATGAAAGTTAGACAAAAACCAGAGGTAGGTTTTATGCCGAAGCAACCCTCTCCATTTGTCCAGGCTGGGGACTGGCACAAAGGGGACATACTGCCCCTTTATGGCTGGATTAAACCCACCGCCCAGTGTTTGTAGTGCGTTAGTAGTTAGTCAAAACAGATATGCACAGAAATTACAGCCACAAATCCTGAAAAATCAAACAGATTATCACATTTTCATACACAAACGAGCATAAAAAACAGGCATAATAAAAGGTTAGTCACTCAAATTAAACTCACATTTCAGTTAAGCAAAACATTTGCAGACACGCCAAACCTGATGAATCCAATGGTTAGTCACTTCAAACTTAGTGGGTTTACTTGTTTAAGAATGCCACTATCTGAAAACATTTTGTGTTTCTAAACCTCCAGTTGTACTAGACAGAACATTATGTGCAGCACTAAGTTAGCCCACAGAAAGCAGGTCCCGGGTTTCACTTCTGTAGTGGATGGGGCCTTCCTGTGTGCAGTTCCCACGCTCTCCCAATGTCTGTGTGGGCACAGTGTTACTGTCTGACCCTACCTCTTACCCTGCCATACAAGTGAGTTGTGTTTGTGCAACTTGAGGAAAGAAAAGAACAAAATTAGACATGGAAAGTTTTGAAACAAGGTTAATCAACATAAGAATTGCATTTTACCTTCAACAGGACCAGAAGGTGAACAGGGTGGTCCAGTCCATCTTGAATGTTGTCACCCCTCTTGAAACCCCACCTCCCCCCTCCTTCTACCTTAAATGTGAGCCTCTCTCACCCTATTTTTAACCTTAATACACTAATGTAGCATATATGATGATGCTTGCCAAAAGGAAATATTATTGTAGGCTAGATCAGAAGAAGGTATCGGCTCTGAGAGGTGCGTGACAGAATAATACGGAGTCAGAAATTATGATTTAGTGGCTGGTGCCATGTATTAACAGTGCTTATAGTGAACAACAAAAACAATATTTACAATTCTGCAGATTTAGGGATCAAGCTTGATACCAGTAATATTGAGGTACATTTACAGATTTCCTTATAATGAATGTGTAACCATATAAAAAGAGTTAACAGTACAGTCCAGTGATTGTTTTCCCCAACACGCTTACTGCAATAGTAGTACCGTCACCAACTCGCTTTCCACAAGGTAGTAGTGAGTATGAGAGTCCAGAATTGTCCTTAAGCGCAAAAACAGTACTAGGAGCGAGTAGTGGGTAGAAACTGGCTGGGGAGCGACTGGCTGTACAGCCTCCTACCAGACCGCAGAAGGGATGATGGTAGTGATGGTAACGATGATATGGTTCACGTAGGTTCATGAGCTGTTCTAGCTCGCCATTGAAGGGGGGTTTGCACCCAGTGGGGCACACCTGGCCTGTATGGTAACAGACAGGACCGTAAGTAATGGAATGATTCAATTAGCTAGCTATATACACATTTCAATTAATTAATCTCAGTCAATAAATCTCAATCTCAGTGTATACACAATTATTTACAGAGTGCACATTCAATAATATTTTCTCTATAAAAGTCCGTTTCATTAATATAATAAACACAACAAACACTAACAAATTGCACTTGAGTCGAAATCAGATAGTCTTAAAAATGACTTTTAAATGCATCAGTCAACCAATATCGGGTGGAACAATGGCCTGCAACTGGCGACATTTGCATATGAATGAAAAATCGGCAGGTGAAACAAACAAGTGCAAGATGCTAGCGGCATAAGTTGCTAATGCTAACAACTCGGTAAACAGACAAACAGACTCACCAATCCCACTGTGAAATGGTTGCGCGGCTAGAACACGTCTTCTGCGGTGATATGAGACCTCTAAAACGTAAGTTACAATTTTAGTTTAGAGCGGATACAAAGATGAGTAAAAGTTTAATTTGTTTCAATATCAAAAACAACCAACCAACCACACACACCAACCAACAAAACCAACGCCGTTACCAGTCCACCTACCCAGACAACTCCAGCCACCACCAGACAACTCCAGACACCTCCAGACACCTCCAGACACCTCCTGACACCACCAAATACCTCCAGACAACTCCAAACATCACGCATAAGCCACGGACATCTCCCTACTGACACATGACCAAACTGACAGGTCAGACTAGACACCATTACCAAACAACAGCAGGAAAGGTTGGCGGGGCTTAAGTGTGTTTCTGAGCTGACTGTATCAGTTTGGGACTTTGTAGTAGTAATAGCAGACTTTGTAGTATTAGATTGTAGCAGAACACACGTGTGCCAAGTTGCTTGGCGCCACTTTTTAAATAGGAAGTCCGGGGCGGATGTGACGCACTCAAAGGTTCCGCCCCTACAGCGAAGTGCGCGCCACAAATCCGCGATGTGGAGCGCTGAAAATGAACCAGCTACATCCCAAACTGAAGCTCAAACGAAAGAAGTCCTGCGCGGATCCGGAACTGCTCTGCCCGGGGAAAGAGCGGAGTGTGAGGCCGCTGTCAGAGGGAGAAGCCCCGCTGCAGGCTGCAGGGTAAGAGCCGCCCCGGGGAGCCTGCTACTGCTGCTGCTGCGCACAGCTCCATGCAAAGTACTGTGTATTATCCTCATGTTAATATAACTCCAGTATATTTAGTATAATTCTCAGATAGATTTTACACTTGCCCTCCAGTTCAGACATTTTTCTCATTCCATATATATTTGGGCAAAGTTAGCTCTGTTGTGTTACTGTCTTTCAGATCCCAACATTCTATGGGCCAGTTCTTTTATACAGACGGGGCAGCAGGCCCAAATTATTACTATTATAGATGAAGATTTGTGTTGTGTTATGTTCAGCATTTGTGAATTTACCTTACATATTTCTTGTGAGAATACTATGTTATCTACTCAGAGTTTCAACTTACTGTTGTATGGAATATTTTGAGGAATTTTTTTTTTCCCATTGAAAAATATACTTTTTTGTTTTAAATTGTTAATCAACATGACAACAGTCCTATTTTTTCATATTTGTGGACCCGAAACCTTTAAAAGAGCTGTGCAGTCACATTTTATGCACTTATTTCCTTGCAATAAAGTGTTCAAACAAGGCTTTGAAGATCAGCTAAAGCTAAATATCAGCCTGTGCTGGAGATTTAAGGCCGATAGCTGATATGCTTAAAAGTACAAATATCAGCCAGATATATCAGCAAATGGATAAATTGGTCTGTCTCTAATCTGAACACCTCCAAAAGAATAGACAACAGTAGCCTCTGTTGCAAATGATTGCCGCAATTATTTGTTGTTGTTCTCCAGCCCTCTGCTCCCTGCTGCCCCTGCCACTGCTCCTGCCACTGCTCCGGTCCCCCTCTGCTCTGGAGTGGACAGACTGTGGGCACTGACCTTGGGCTGGATCCTACAGGAGCTCCAGGGACAGGTGCCTGAGCTGCCCCCTCCCTCTGCTGATGTAAGATGCACACAACATCATCATAGTCACAGTCGATACTCGAATACAAATCAATACTAGAAAAACTATCCACAATGTCAGATGGTATCAGTGTTTTAGAGAGTTAAGCCTGCTGCACACTACAGGATTTAAAAATATTCAATAAAATGCCTAGACTGCAGACACGAGGACAATAGTATGAGATTTTAAATCTTACGATCCCCAAGCACAATGACTAAAGAGACCACACGCTACAAGCTAAAAGTTGGAAATTATCATAACTGTTAAAACCAGGTCAGCTGGTTCCTGCCTATAATAAAACCTCTCACTTTAAGACTCCAAAAATGTTCTAAATATCAGAGTATTGCACTTGTAATTTAGATGCAGGTCAAAATTGTTATGATTTGTGAAATGTGGTACACTACTTCAGATAAATACTTTTAATGCACAGAAAGCTGATGATAAGGTACACAGGAAGTAGCGTTGTGTTTACTGTCGCTAATCTGCAGTAGACTGCCTCTTACTGCACGGATGTAAACGGACACACATGAGTTACTGCTCTCTCCTTTTTACTTCAAAAACTCTTCAAACAGGATCCATGCTGTTTTGGGGACTGCGGCTCATTATTTGCAGAGGACACTTTCTAATGAATTGATGAGTTTTACTGTTATGACATGAAAGAGCAGCTCAGAGTCACAAGAGCAAAAGATTCAAAATTACATATGGAAATCTGGGTCAGGTCACACCTCCCTCAAGTCGGGGAGAAGCAAATCATGTCCTAAATCGGGCAAATGATCCTGTATAGTGTGACGGGCTTAAAACATTATACTACATGTCTGCTAAGGGCAAGTGCATTCAATTACTGTTGTCTTTAGCATAGAACATAATTAAGTTGAGCTGTGCATTTAATCTCATTTTAATCAAATCATGATCTAGGTAAAGGATTAACTTGGGTCTTTTTAATGGAAATGTCACATCTAGCCCTGTGTCAGGAAGTACATGTGGTTTGGAGCAGACAAAACCTTTGGAAGAAGAAATGACTGAACAGAAAGACATATTGTGCAAAAGCAGTTTTTAGAGCTTTTAGCCTTATTATCTTTGTTTCCCTTCTCATTTACTCACTCAAAGTTGTATTTGGAATGATTCATGCATGTTTGAGTAATATTTATTCTCATGTTTTGAGATGCCTTCTGTGACGTACACACTTTGTTCTCCAATTGTACTTTCTTAATTTGTGATACACGTAGGATTCGGTCATTTTTGGCACAAAAAAAAGCACAGTGCTCACTATTGTGATGTGCAGTTATCCATACTTGGGGCTGACAGCATGCGGCACTTTGTTGTGATGACGTTTACAGTGGTGTACTGTAAGAGGCAGGCAGGAATTGGCTCCTAATACCTTACTGGGCTCCGCAATTTTCCAACCCAGAAATAAGTGGATTTGTTTCTATTATTAAGTTGTTTTAGACTAAATAGTGATTTAAAATATCCAAATTATAACGTAATGCTTCATGGATGTTAGAGATTAGAAGTATACAGCAGATACAAGCACAATCTTTAAACAATACAAAATACATTCTGAGGTTTTTAGTTTTGACTCTGTCCGTTTCAGGGCCCCCCTGTCTGTCCTGCCCCTGCACACTGGGGCCTTACTGATGAGATCTCCCCCTTTCCAGAGCCCTACTCCTCTGTCCAGTCATGTCCCACATCTCACCTAAACGTGGATAGTTTGGATAGCCAGGAGCATACAGCCTTGCCCCCCCACACTGCTGATGTGGCACCTTTAAACCAGCAAAGGGAGACCTGCGCACCTAAAGCCCTGCTGCCACAAAGCCGAAGGGGCAGAGGGACACCAGAGAGGACAGAGAGGACAGAGAGGACAGAGAGGACAGAGAGGACAGAGAGGACAGAGAGGACAGAGAGGACAGAGAGGGGGACAGAGGGGACAGGAATGATGGAGGGGATGAAGGGAACAAGATGTTGCGGGGGAGCGGGAGTAACAGAGGGGACATGGAGGACGGAGGGGGCACAAGGAGGGACAGGGGGAAGAGGATGGACTAAAGAGGCAGGAGGGACGGGTAAAACACGACCCTCCTGGACAGAGGGGACCAGACAGATGGAGAGGACTGAGATGATGTGTACAGAGTCGACAGAGAGGATACGCGGGACAGGCGGGACAGGCGGGACAGGCGGGACAGGCGGGACAGGCGGGACAGGCGGGACAGGCGGGACAGGCGGGACAGGCGGACAGGAGACAGGAGGGACAGGAGGGACAGAGGAGCTGTTGGCGAGCTGCCCCATGTGCCTGCTGGTCTTCCCTCCAGGGTAAGTACACAGAGCTCAGAGCAACTACACATTGTGATTTTACGAAGTTTTGAGATCAGTCTGGAGTCCACAGCACACATGTGGAATCTCCAGCAGCTCATTACAAATCACATGTGATTTCAGCACAGTCACATGTGATTTCAGTATAGTTACATGTCTCATTGACAGTTACAGAAATCATTTGTTTGCAGAGTTTGCCTTGTTGTGTAACAAAATACTAAGTTAAAGGAACCATCATTTTTGTCCAGGCCAGTTTCATTATTTAGTTTTTTCTAATGATTCTGTTGAACCACAGGTGAAAAACAATGTTTGATTTCTGTTGGACAATTTTCAGTCATTTTTTATTTATTATTGCTTTTACCAGTTTCAAGTTATTTCAGTGATGATTGGCAATGAAAGAAAAACCAACAGAGTGGTACCAACAGTTTTGTCCACGTCTGTGCACAATGCAGAATACATTTACAGTTCACTCCCAGCTTCTTATAATGCTGGTAAATAATGAGTCATTTTTAATAGAGTCCAGTTAATCAAATTTCAGTTGAGATCAAGATTCCATCATTTGTAATGGTCAGTGATTATATGGGTCTATCCAAAGGAGAGGTCTACAGCCAAACCTCAAGCATTTTTGTTTTGTTTTAAGTGGCAGTGGTTAGAAATCAGTGTGCTGTTTATGTTCCCATCAGTACTCCAGCTGTGAGCCTGTTCTCTTTGCAGACTCTCTCAGCTGGAGCGGGACAGTCACCTGGCCCAGTGTCTGTCTGACGTCAACATCGACGTGACCTGGTGAAGGCCCTGAGCACCTAGAGGAGGTGCTATGGAGCCAGGGACCAAAGATAACATGAGGAGGGCGCCTCATGGTCCTCAGTGTTCTTTAGAGAGAGGACTAAAGACAAAACTACAGAGATGATACCGCTGCTATGATCTGTGAAATCTGGAGCCAGAACAGGGGCCAGAGTTTGGATGTGCAATATGTCAAAACATTTTCATCACGATTTTCTTAGATTATTCATTTTTCCAAAGACACTGAAAGACACTGCGGAGGCTGTCCAGCTATGTGCTAACCAATATCCTTAACACAGTTGTTTAAGGCCAAAAAGACCATATTAAACAAAAGATTCTGTGAAATGATAATGATGGTGGTTTATAAAGTTTCTGATACAGTTATAGGTCTTGTAGTCATTACTTACCACATTAGCTCTTAGCTTTCAGCAGTGATTTTCAGCATGAAATGGTAGTACGTTCTTTTCTATTCCCATGTGTGTTATATGTGTGTGATCCTTCAGTGGTCTGTGCGCATATACTAATCTATGTGCTCTTATATTTGTGCTGATACAGCTCAGAAAAGGTTTGATGTTTCTTCTTACAATATTTGTAAAATAAAAAATTCATATTGTGACATTCCTACACATGCCATGACTACGTTGTAATTATTTTTTCTCCCACAGCCTGAGATTAGCTGTATGCCATTGTGTATGTGGAGATGCGCTTCATTACCCTACTCTCTCCCCCCTCCTCCTCTCTCTCTCCCTCCCCCTCTCACCGCCTGGAGCCGTGGGCCTTTGACTCCGGACAGCCTCATTAATCCCATTATAAATCCCATTCTTAATCCCATTATGTTCTTATCAAACAAACCACGGTCAGATTTCATCACAGGCCTCCAGCTTCTCTGAGCACCGCCCAGCCCAGCGCACACCAGCAATTTGAGTTTATCTTTTCACCAAAATGACACTTAAGTCAAGATTAAGTTAAATGATTATCTTTACTTAAAGACCTATTCTGCAAAATTTACTTTTCAATCTTTAACCATGTTATAGTTGTTTCCTGTCCGCACTGACTCAACTGAGGTTGTATTTGCAGTGATTTGTGTGTGTTTGATTAATCTTTAATTACTTCATTTCAAGATGCCATTTTGTCAAGCAACTCCCATTTTCACATCATCACACTTGTTTTCATTTTAGATGTATATTGTGATAGAAAATGTTCAAATTTTAAAATAATGATCCACATGTGTCATAGATTATAACTATAAATCACACACAAGAACAATATGTCTTCTTTAACTAAATCCATAACTTGAATAAAATAAGATTTCTTTGTAAATGTGTTATGAAAAAGTGCAGCATTGCTTTGGTCTATTTTTTTGACAGCATGTTATTTTCCTTTGTTGTTCTTTGTGCTTTTGGTCATCACTTTTTTGTTTTTACTCTGAAAAATGATTCTGTATTTCAGTCAATTAAATTAAATGAACTGTATGCAAGTTGTTCTAATAAGGTACTACAATCACTACTTAAATTCCCTGTATTATGTGACATTGACTCTTGTAATTTTTAAGATATTTTAGAATGTCATTACTTCCTCAGCAAACAGAACTGGAGTTGTGTTTTGTTTCATTCACACATGTTAGAGTAACATCACAGGGTGGAAACACAGTGTTTTCTGTCTGAGAGGACGCAACATTCTTGCTGGGTTTCAGATGACACCCCACATTCTACAGGCCAATACTGATGAATACACATGGGGGGCAGCTAAAATGAATATTGCTTGAATGCAAAATTATGTTGCAATAGCATGAGTTCTTAGGTTTGGTGAATATTTGAAAATACTATGTTCAGCAATTGTGAATTTACCTTTTTGATACTTCAGGGTAAAGAACAATGTGATCAACAGGGAAAACTTGCCCTTGCCCCCCATCTGGGAGTATGACATCACATTGTACAATCTGAAAACCACCAATAACAGATCTGATAACAGTGTGCTAAGGCATTTAACTTTAACCTGTAGAAAGAGGACACCTCTGAGTTTCTCATTTCAAGATTCTCAGTATTTGGACAGGCAGAATTCTCTCTCTGAGCTGCAGAGGCTGCACTAGCACAGATTCATTAGTGGCTGCAGGTGCTGGGGCCCATTCAGGTCAGAGAGTTTAAACTAAGAGGATTTCTGCATTGAAACTGGCAATTCAAATGAGAGACTCATGAAGTTCATTCTGCTGTCTGATGAAATTTAAAATCAAAACTTACATACAGTTCCTCCTGGTGCACCATCCGTATGAACTGGTATCAAATGGAGAAACTTTCATTCATTACTTTGAAGGTTGATGGTTGAATTCTCCACTCCCACTGATGCTTATTTTTGCTGTGTCCTCGTTTTTTTCTAAACCTTTCTTTTTGCCGTATGTACCCTTATGTACACAGTACACACACAGTTGTGTTATGTTGGAATGGGCCAGTGCCTTGAAACTATCATTTTAGACAGGAGATTCGCAGTACCTAGCTGGAGGATTAGTCTACTGTGTATGATTTAGAAAACTCAGACATAGGCAGACAAGAGGGTGTAATCCCTCAGTCATCCCACACAGTCTGGGAATCGAACCAGGAACCATCTCGCTGCGAGGAGTCTAACCAATGTGCCACAGTCTATTGGAAATGATAGATTCATTCATGGACAGATCGTGCAAGAGGAAGTGAGCACTTTGACAGGCTTTAATAAAACAATGACAAGCACCATGTCTGACTGCTCAGGAGCGCCCTCTTCTGGTCAAACACCACAGTCACTACACTGCAAAAGCAATATGTGCAAAGTACACTCACATTATTCAGAACTACGGTAAAAGTAGAGGTGGTCCAATATGGAACTTAATCACTATCTGATATTTGACAATACTTATTCTTATTCTTATTATTATAAAGATGATTAAATCTGTTGTCCATCCAAGTGAAAGAGGGAGTATTACACTTCTTAACATGTTTTATATGTTTCATTTTTGATTCTGACGCTCTGAACCTTCCCTCCCTTTGTTCTGTGTATTAAGTCACCCCCCCTTCAGAGCACTATCACAGCACAATCATTGTGCATCCCGCTAATAAAACTACTGCACATCGCATCAGGTTTGTCTAGTTACTGTGAACAGTTTTGTGTCATACTTTTGTGTATTTATGGAGAATTGTCATGTGGGAGCATGGGCGACACAGGCCTTGGACAGAATCTTACAGCTAAAACCTCTTCAGGCATGTTATAACACGGGGGAAACATGGTAACATGAACTTTTCTAGCATATTAAATAAATTGATGACAAAATAAAAGACTAAACAGTCTGGAACCATCCTCACTTTATATTGTTTTTTTTTTACCCCATTGACTGATCATTTGGCTTGTAAAAATATCTTGTGACCAATCCAAAATAACTCCAATGTTGATTATAATCAGATCATTGTAATTCAGTCCTTATGCACACATATTATTTTTGCAGTGTTGACGTGTGGAGACGTCCCCATCATTCACCTGTGCAAAAGGTGACCTATAAAAAACTCACACTTCACAAATAAACAACCAGCAACTTCAGACATTCCACTTTGCAAGGTCCCATGTTATGTTAAACTGACTGCATCAAAGTAGCTTCACGATACTAAGGAACAGATGCGATACTCAATATCGACTCCGATACCAGAGTCATTAAAAACAACAGACAATAGATTGTGATTTTGAAAATGAAGTCATAGTACTATCTCATAGTACCTCAGTTGTCCAGGGAGGTTCCTTAGTGGTCCAAGGGTGTATACTAGTGTCTGTGCTCTTATAGTTGTTCTGCTACAGCTCAAGAGCTTCATTTCTGTTTTGTGAATGTGACTTTTCCATATGAATATCTAGTTACTTCAATACTAGTTTAAGTATCGAGCAGTATTGTAGAATGCTATTTATTTCTCTACAATGGTCTGTGCTACTGTCATTTCCCAAAAGATTAATTTAAAAGTGACTTCACGTTAGCTGCACTGAGATGAAGCAAAAGATGATGGTCTTTGGAGTTCCCTGTACTTTTTAGCATGTTTAGTCAGTAGCGGCAAAACCGAACAACTAGACCTGGAAGTCAGAGGTGGGGAGTACTCAAGTATCCAGCTACTTCTACTTTTTAACTTTTAACTTTTCTACTTTTTAATAAAATAGAACTTTCTGCAGTAGTTTTCAGACACCATACATTTACTCCTACTTAAGTAGTACTGAGTGACAAAGTAACTACTCTTACTCCAGTAAATGGTGTGGTTCCTCTTCTCACTGTGAGTAAGCCATTTGCGTTTCTTACATTGCTTCTTCAGATATGATTCATTAGTTTCATTTGTGTATCATTTAAAAATACCAGATTTTAAAGCAGTCTTTCCATAGAAACAAGCAGGCGAAACATGGGTCAGGTTTGTAAAGATGCAGGCCCACTCACAGTAAGTTTTTAAGTGCAATAAAAACAATCAAAATGAAACTTATGAAAGAAAAAAAACAACTTATATTTTAGTATATTTTTAGCCAAAAAAGTGACATTTAAATAGATATTACATAAAGACAGTTATGCTTACAGTTATTTTTTTACCCGATTCATTTCTTCGATCACTTTGCCCCTCAGTAGGTAACAGTACTCTTACTTGAGTACAAATTTTAGCTACCCTCCACCTCTGATGTTACAATATCATGCTTAAAGATGACATTGTGCTTGTGTCTGCTAGAGCGTTTATCATTATGTTATAATTTGGACATTTTAAAGCATAATATGGATCTAAAACAACTTTATAAAAGAAACAAGTTCACTGACTTCTGCATTTAACTGTGGTGTCCAGTGGAGCTGACATGGCCGTAAATGTCATGACAGCAAAGCGCCACATGCTGTGGGCCCCTCCTATGTGCGCTGCACATCACGCTAGAGAGCAGTGGATTCTTTTACATTTGTGCAAAAATGACAATGAAATGCTGCCAAATCCTACATGTGTCACCGATTTTAAAAATATTTAATTGGAGAAGAAGTAAGTAAATAGCAGCGGGCATGTATCCAAGGCGGTGAAAACGAGGATTGACAATTGGCAATATGGCATCTTGAAAATAAGTGATTGAAGGTTGCTCAAATGTGCACGAATTATTACAAATACAATGGGTAAACGAGAAGGAAACAACTATAACATGGTTAAAAGCTCTGAAAAGCTGATTTTGCAGAAAAGGTCTGCTTTAATGTTATATTCTTATTTTCTAAACATTATTTCGAACAGTAAAAAATAGTTCTTAAAGCCAGAATAGCTCATAACATGGGACCTTTCACTTCCACTTATCATGGACATTGCCTCCGAGCTAGCAATAGATTCTGGGGAGACAGTTTGATAGCATTTGTCCTTTTTCCCTGGGCAGCAGTGGACACGGGGCTGGAGCAGTGATGAGGTGTGGAGTAATACGGCAGGACTGTGCTCAGGTCAGCTGGCTCTCCTCTGGGACAGCTCCTCAAACCTCCATGGACCCGCTGGTGTCCCAACGCAGGAACAAACACACTGGAGGCACTTCTTAAATTAAAAATCCCACTGACATTTAAAATCGCTCAACAATATTTAAAAAATGAAAATCTAAAAACAGACATGTGTGAGCATCGATGAAAAGGCATCATTCATTTCACTCGTCATTAACCATCATTTAAATTACACATTTATAACTAGAGTACATTCTTATTGTGTGGACCAGGACAAAATAGAAAACGCAGTGAACTGAAAAGTGCAGGCGATGTTCAGGATGTGATGGGTGTCCAGCTCTGTCCTTCAAAGTCTGGGACATATGGGACAAAGATCCCCTGGACCCCAGCCTCCCTCTGGGTACAGTGTCCACAGTCTCACCCTAAAGACGTGCTCCAGGCAGGTCCAGCAGAGTCCAGGAGGCTGGGGGGGACACGTGTGGACATGGGGGACAGTCTTCAGACCGTCTCCTCCGAGGACATCAGCAGAGGGTTGATGTAGTCGAAGCCCTCGAACTCAGACTGGTCTATTCTCTTGATGATGTCCCTAAGGACAGGAGAGAAACAGTAAGGACAAATGACCCTTTTCATGCTTTTGATGTGTGATGGAGTTTGGAAAATTACAGGTAGGAACACATTTTTCTGACACACACACAGCAAAATAACAGTGCTGTCATTTATTTTGTTTGCTGATCTTAGATGAGCTTTGGCCCTTTTTACCTTTTGGTTGATAGGTACAAATTATAGAATGTGGTCATTCTGTCAGCTGATTTTGTAGGGATGTAAACAATAACTGAAATATAAGTCTCAAAATAATGTCATGGGTATCACAATATATCGCATTACAAGCTCTTTTGGTTAAATGCATTGTTGCAGCAACAGCTAAAAACATAGGGAACATAGACCATGAGCCTTTGCTTCATGTCCATGAAGAAAGAAACTGTTACTAAGCCCTTTCACCTCTTAATTATTTGGATTATGACAGTCATGCTTTGAACCAAAGGCTTGTCCATGCATATTAAAAGAAAAATATCACAATAAATATTGTCCCGTGACATTCAGCCGTGAAATTTGGACATCATAACATCCTTACCATCCTCCTTGATTTGGCACCTTTTTCATGAAACCTCTTTGGAACCTTTATATTCTGTATTCTGTCTGCTCATCTTCAAGTGCTCATCTTCACTGTACAAATGTGACTGGGTGTGATCAGGTCATCAATTTTACATTGTGTTCTTTGCAAACTAATATGTTGAACTCTTGAGTTAGACATGGGACAGCTGACATTAGCCGGCTTTCTGAACATATCAATCAAAATGCAACTGAGCTTAAACAGCAAATGTTACGGTCTTGTGTGACTTTTAGTAAAAAAAATATTGTTATTTATTTTATTTTATTATTATTATTATTTATTTATTTTGTATTATTATTATTATTTTTTTTTTTTACACAGTTTCAGTTTACCAAAATACAAGAACATTTTAACAAGTCTTTATCAACTATGTGCCATTTTTACACATAAAATGCTTTATTTTAGATGAATCATTACATTTCTGTGAGAAAACTATAGAAGAAGTTTCTAACTGATATTAAGATTTTTACTGATCACACAGTGAATCTGTGTCCTGTACTTCTGACCATCATTAGCAGAGGTAGAGAACTCACTGGTCGTCAGGCGTCAGCTGCACGGGCTCATTAGTGAACTGAGTGTCAAAGTTCTCCAGGCCCAGCTCATCTGAGATCTGAGGGACGAAGGGCGGAGTCACCTGCTTCTTCTCCAGCTGAAGCAAAAACACACACAGCATGTCAGTCATTTTATAGCTGCTTATATTATCTACTGCTGTCTTCTGGTACCTACTATCCACTACTATCTACAGTCTACTACAGTGCACTAGAAACTTGCTGCTATGAGTACAACTCAATTCATTTGTGAAACCAGGTCAAAACATCTGCATTATCACAAGTAAAAGCTAAATACTAATTATAATGTGTCATCTGCAACAGTTGTAAAATATGGGGGATTTGAATAATATGTCATCATCCTGACCAAAGCTAGGACTAAACTGGGCCCAACCAAACCAGGACAAAGCAGCAGCAAGACACCTTCTAAAACTCCTCCTAAAAAGCCTTGGCCCAGAGGCAGAACAAGAAGCAATGACAATTGAGAAGCATAGACAGAGTAGAGCGTCTCACTCCGGAGCGCAGTGTCTCTGGTGGAGATGGGGCTCTGCTTGTTGTTGCTGTCCTTGTTTATGTGGCGTTGAGAGGCCCCCTGCTGCTCTCCTGCTCACAGCGCTTCATTAGTGTCCTCCTAATGCATCAAAGCTCAGAGACAGCCCCAAACAAAGCACCTCCTCTGCTCTCTGTGTGTATATGTCTGTGTGTATATGTCTGTGTGTGTATATGTCTGTGTGTATGTGTGTACCTACAGCTTACACAGTCGTACTCTAAACCCGTCGCTGTGTTTAAGATTTGTGAGTCTTGCAGCTTGGGGAAAGAAGGCGCCTGATTGATCTGTTATCATTGTTCATATCTTGATTTCAGGACAAAATAGTGAAATAAACCCCAGGATCATGTCGAGCGGGTTAATAATAACATTTTAGACCAAAATCACAAGCCTGACAGCAGCAGTTTCAGTCGGAGGGGCCACCATGTTCAACAGATAATGAATTGGAGCCAATGAAATCAAAGCATGCCTATGCTCACTTCCTGTTTAGAACGCAGTGGCTAGTGGACAGCAATGTCCATTTACATACACAGTGTATTGCTGGGACGGAGGGCGTGTGTCCGGTCACTGTAACATATAAAGGTAAAGGTTCACGTCCATTCTGCCTCTTCTTCTACATAAAAATCATTAACTCAAAATGTCTTTGTGAAAAACCATGAAGTGTGAATCATTGCTGGTTACTGCGCTGCCTGGACATTCACTGTCCTCGGCTGCTGCAAACTCTTCGTCTCCTCTAGATAAAATTGTAGCCGGGGCTGCATGCAGTAAATGTGCTGTCGACTTAACCTCTCTACCAACGGTTTTTAATGTTTATCAGAAAATATCTACACAGTATTCTGTTTGAGTGTCATTTTTGGGACAACAGCTTAGATTTACTGTCAAACGTTTTTGAGACATCTGGTCACCCTAAACCAGGGTTGTCCAAACTTTTGACTGTGATAAGCGACCTTTACAGAACGAAAATGTCGCAGTCGCAGAAATGTAATCGATAAAAGAGAGCCAGCCTTAGATGTTGTACAGTTAGAATACAACATAAAATCATTATCCATTTATTAGTGCACAAAGTTCAAAATACACATTTACAATGGTAATTTATCAAATTTGAGTTATTTAGTACAATACCTATAATTCAGAAATTACTTTGCAAGCGATTTGTAAAGGGGTGAGGAGCTACTGGAAGCTCCCGAGCTACAGGTTGGAGCCCCCTGCCCTAAACCAACTGAACTTATATAGTGCACTTTACTGAACATTATTCACTCACTCCACACACACAGTGGTGGTAGATACTATTGTAGCCACAGCTGCCCTGGGGCAGCCTGACTGAAGTGAGTCTGCCAATCTGCACCGCGGCAGTGCTAGAGCGGCGGCAGTGTTAGCGTGGCGGCGGCAGTGCTAGAGCGGCGGCAGTGTTAGCGTGGCGGCGGCAGTGCTAGAGCGGCGGCAGTGTTAGCGTGGCGGCGGCAGTGCTAGCGCGGTGGAAGGTAAATGATATTTAAAGGTGTCATGTCTTCAGAGAGCTGCTCCCTCTGGACTGCCTGATGAATATTAATGCTGGTGTCAGGTGGAGACGTGCAGAGCTGCCGGGGCACACAGCTCCAGCGCTGCCTTTGATTCATTCCCGTCCGCCTCTGGTGCCTTTGGTGAACACATCAAATGCTCCCTGGCACCTCTCATTAACACCGTGCCAATTGTTGTGCTGCAGTTTGACGGGTACACAGCCTCTCACCTGAGTCCCGAGGGAGAGCAAAAGTGTGCTCACTACTGCTGCTGTCACTGAGCTGGAGGAGTGTGTCACATCAAACATGATCCTTTCTCTTTTAAACACTGCGTCGACATCAGTGTGAAGCCAACAGCATTAAAGAGGATATAGGCTGGAAAGTTCAAAATGTACCCCAGTAGTTTACAGATAATTTAAAAGCAACTCCCATGGTCAAAATGAGACCACTGTGTGCCATCCACACCATCCACACCAAAATATGAAGCTTTTTTATCTTCTGCAAACAAGAAAGTACGCCTGGTGTGCTGTTAGCATGCTAGTTGTTTTTTCTAGCACCACAAATGTCTCCCTTCAGGTCGACTAGTCAAAGCACAGACCGAGAATTTATTACATCTGAAAATGATCTAATATTGTCCTTTGAGTCCAAGGTTTGTTAAAAGGTCAGGTTACTTCACCTCTGCCTTGGACGGAACAAAAACTCAAATACAGTCACGCTCAGAACCTCCACTGGGTCCAGCTACCTGCAGGTGGTAGTGCTCTCTGATCTGAATACCTAAAACATGTGGAAACAGAGTGGAGAGTATGCTCTCTCTCCACTTCCCTCTCCACTTCTCTTCCCAGGCTCTCCCCTCTCCCTCTCTCCTCTCTCCTCTCTCTCCTCTCTCCACTTCTCTTTCCACTCTCTCCCATCTCTCTTCTCTTTCCCCTTCCCTCAGGCCCCTCTCCCCTGGGCTAGGCCTGACAGATCTGTAGTACCACTGACGTCCACACAGAGCGGTGAGCGGAGGTGCCTGTTCAAAGACGTTCGTCGTCTGTGACACGTGGAGGCAGACTCCACTGTACGCCATAAATATTGAATGACCTGTATTTTGCTTTCAACTACTTTCCAAATGCGAGTGTGCATCAGACCAGCACAATTACCCACAGAGGCAGCGCCGCTCTGCTGCTCCTGTGATCAGGAATTCACTTTACTCAGTCTGTACATACATCTGTACACACAGTACCACGTCACAGAGCCAACCTGCTCCAACCTGCTCCAACCTGCTCCAACCTGCTCCAACCTGCTCCAACCTGCTCCAACCTGCTCCAACCTGCTCCACCTCTGCCCCGCTCCACCTCTTCTCCACCTCTGCCCCGCTCCACCTCTACTCCACCTCTACTCCACCTCTGCTCCACCTCTGCTCCACCTCTACTCCACCTCTACTCCACCTCTACTCCACCTCTACTCCACCTCTGCCTCTCCACCTCTTCTCCACCTCTTCTCCACCTCTTCTCCACCTCTTCTCCACCTCTTCTCCACCTCTTCTCCACCTCTGTCCCACTCCACCTCTTCTCCACCTCTGCCCCGCTCCACCTCTGCCCTGGTTAACCACCACACAGATTTAAGCAGGTCAACAATCACTTTAGTAAAAGTATTGACTTTCAAATGAACTGTGAGTACAAAAGTACTTACACAGCCCTCTAACATATGCATGGCACACTTACTGCTAGCTTAAGCACCCTGACTCACAGCAGGAGGGTCCCAAGGGTGCTCTGGTTTCTCCCTAAAACATGCACAATTGGCTAATCTTTCAGCTAAGCTGACCAAGATCATCAGGATCTTGGTCAGTGCCCTAAACTAGGTCTAAACTACATCTAAACCAAGTCTAAACCAAGTCTAAACCAAGTCTAAACCAAGTCTAAACCAAGTCTAAACCAAGTCTAAACCACGCCTTAACCAGATCAGGAGAAGATGCTTCCACTTCACTGTGACTTTTGTCATCAGCTGCTGCAGGTCTACAATGGGAATGGCCAGTGTAAGTAAATAAATATAAATACCAAAAATACCAGATCAGAATGCTAACTTTGAGTAAATACATAAAAGAAAATGACTCTTTGGTGGTAATCAGAAGTAATCAGTTACTGGAGTTTAGAAGACAGTTCATCTTCAGTGTGTGAGAGGGGCCTGTGGCTGAGTTTTACCCCAGCACAGAGGCAGATCCTGTGGGTGTACTCCTCTTCAGAGCTGTTGTCACTCCTCCAGCTCTGAGCTCAGACATGTCATGTGTCAATCACAGACATTCGGGATCACACTGGAGCTAAATGAAGCTGCACATGCACGACTGTTAGGAACAGTCACAATGTTCACTCTGTGAGCCCCTACACCAGGATACACAGTGTAACTGTAATGTGATCAAAGTGAGGACGCCTAAGTCTGCAGAGAACACCCTCCTAATCCAGTCGCTCACATCGCTCACACAATATAAGAGATACATGCAGAAGTGGTGTAAACCGTAGCACTGATCAAAGACTGACCTGGTCCCAGTCTATACTGCGGAAGAACGTGTGTGACTTGATGTCTGTGTAGCCCGTCTGAACCTGGCACCCCAGCCGCTCCTTGGGATCCTGAGGACATCAACAGAACAGTTATGTCAGAACTCACTCACAGATAGATGGACAGATTGATCATTGTTTTTGATTCAAATCATTTGATGTGACTCATACTTTCTGTAGTGGGCTGAGGTGTCCCTGAAATGGCTACATAAGAACAGAGAGAGGCTGTAGCTGCAGGGAGCTCTCACCTTGTTGAGGAAGCCCTTGAGCACGCTGGCCGCCTTCACCGACAGAGACCTTGGGATCCGAATGGGCTTCTCAAGGATCACTGTGGACAATAACCAAACACACAACCACACACACAACCACACGCATGATGCAAACAACCACGCATACAACCACAAACACCCATGCAAAGAACCACACATGAGCACATGCACAGCAGAAGGGCATTGTTAAAATCAGATGTCTTTGATAAATGCGCGGGGGAAATGTAACAACAGACTCCCCCAGAATTTTTATTTACTGTATTTTCCGGGTGATTAGGCGCTCCGGGTTATAAGACGTCGTGTTCCCGAACTTTTTTCACATATAAACCGCACCGGACTATAAGGCGCATTAAACGAAACACAACACTTAGGTAAATCACTCAAACTTTATTTAACACGTTTACTCGTTACGTTAACTCTCAACTTTGTTCATTTGTAACACGTAAAAAACAAAAAAAAAATCTGTCTGAGACCGATAAATTGTCAGCGTATGCACAATAACTCATAATTGTTTGGTTATAACTAAAAATAACACATAACAATAACACATAAGCGTTTTCACACCGCTAGTTCGATTATTTGGTCCGCACCAGCAATAAAATTGTTATTATGTAGCAAATACACTCCAGTGTGGTCCGCGTTCACACCGGCAAACGAACCAAAACTGGTGCGATTGACGTGTCTCTGTTTCCCGGGAAAACAGTGATACCTATGTTATCAACACCGATGTTCCTGTTAATACCACGGGCCGTCCTCATCTCAAATTATCATCATGAACTCATAAAACAGCAACATGTAGAACTTTGTACAAACTCAGTGCATCAGCCTAGAGTTAACAGCAGCAGCCAACAGCGCTCACAGTAGCGCGCAGCTCCTCTTGGTCAAGATGGTCCGGAGGCTCCATCCTCCATGTGCTGGTTCCAAACGGTGGCGAGCAAGACCAGTGCTTGATGGACTGAGTCCGAGCGGGTACGTTCAGTCGTCTGCGCGCTGTTTCCGTGCGGGAGAAGCAAGAATGCGCTGTGGACTACAGGTCCGGCGCGCTGCTCCTGTCCTCCGCGCTCAAGAACCGCGGCTGGTTCCGAGGTGGTGCAGCATCCGGACAGAAGCATGAGTCCAGTTTGGTTTGTTATATGTTGTTCTGAGCGTCCGTCCTCTGTGCATTTGGTTCTTCCCGGGGAAAGGGCTTCCTCAGGTCGAAGCTCCCTGCTCCAGCTCCTCTGAGTCCGGCCTGAACTGGAGCTGCCCCCACTGGTTCGGGACTCTGGTTTGGATTTAGTCCGACTGTATTTCTCACACTAGGCTAAAAGCAGGGACTTTTTGAAGTTGTATCAATTGAATAGGCTATTGCCATAAAATTATTTGGTTAATTAAAGCCTAAAATAACAAATGCTGGTTGGTACATGATCACGGGGAACACTGGGACCTCTCTGTGCGTGCAGGTCCTGAACAGACGTACACACCCCCAATTCTGACTCACTCTGGAGCCACATGTTCGCACACTGGTACTTGCTCTGATCTTCGTGTGTTACATTCTCTGTATTGGCCATTGTTGGTAAAATAATTCGAAAATGAATCGCGGCTGCATCTGGACAACAATCTGTTACTGCGCTAGAGTTGCAGATCAATAGGGACGGAGATGAGTGGAAAAAGCCATCCGGTCTCTTAAGGTAAACTTCTCGCAGCCAGTCGCTCATCTTTTCCTCGTCCACAGGAAAAATGAGGAATCACAATACGTATTACCCCGCGATGCTCCTGACTACGGTAGCCGTAATGCTGCAAGTGGTGCGGCTTTGTCGTTTACTGAAATTGTACTGGAACACTCGCATAAATTCATATAAAAGGCGCTCCGGATTATAAAGGGCGCAGTCGTTTTTGGAGGCTTAAGACTGCGCCTAATCGCCCGGAAAATACGGTAATTGGAGCTAGTCGCAAGATAAGAAATATAGAAATAATTTCCACAGGGAGATACATCTGTCAGTCTAAACGCTGACTGGTATAAATATTAAAAACAGACTGAGTAATGTAAGAGAACTATGTGAAAGCCCTGGACTGTTGAATGTTCAGAGGTGCACACATGCATCTGGGACAGTGCAGTGTAAGTGTACAGCGTGGAAGAAGTGAGAGCAGACGTACCCTGAAACAGGTACTCCTCTGTGTTCATGTCGGGATTATCTGTGATGATGTCGAACGGAGAGCGGCCGGCCATCATCTCAAACATGAGCACGCCCAGAGCCCACCAGTCCACACTGAAGCCTACCAAGGCACAGGTCAAAAGTCAGAGACAGACACACACACACCAAGAGTAGTAGGTTTCCATGCTGGTTGGGGACATTGCATTGACCATTCATTTCCTGGAGACTGATCCTAACATTAACCATAGTCACTACTCACTAGGGTTGGGTGGTAATACAGTATTACGATATACCGCGGTATCAAAAAATAGCAGTGGTATCAGTTTCATTACCTTCATTTTTAAAAATCTGCAGCACATAAGGACACAATATAATATTATAATTTACTGATATCTAAATTTGTTTGCTCAGCACAAATTAATGTGTGGTTGTATTTTCAATTTAATACGATCATGATTTAAATCTCATAGTATCTCTAATGTTTCTTGGGGAGATTAGTTTCGTTCTGCTGTCACATGATGCTCATAAGGGAGACCAAGACAAAACGGCAAGTCCGGCTGCGAGAGAGTTGGTTCCCCCAAAAATACTAGTACTTTTGCAATTTGGCAGCATTTTGGCTTCAGGCCACATTTCTTTACGTTTTACAGAAACAAAACTTAAAACCACATGGCTAATTTGCATGAACAGCTCGCTTCTTGTGCTGCTGATGTGGTTCAGCTTTTGTCAGACTAAAGGACACGATTCAGTGTACATGTTTTTTTCAGTGGAATATATGTTTTTTTTTTCAGTAGAATACATGTTTTTTTCTGTGACAGAGGATGTTGTGGCTGACGGTGAGTCTGTTCTGTGCGTGTCCCATTGGAAACGGTTCGTGTTTTAACTTTTCAGAGATTATGGACCTGGCTCCACTACGTGTGTGTATTTTGCCCTACGCAAGCGTAAAAACTGCACATTTGGATGCGTACATTTTAGAATGCACGGAAAGCGAATGAGGGCGGCACACATATGGAGCAGCAAGTCCTGCGCGCGTAGATTTCAGAAAATATGATCCATCCTATTTTTTTACCCTGCCGTGACAATAGGTGCGTGTCCCCATCAAAATACACATAAGATCATGAATCTTTGGTTGTATTTGTGTGTTTACCATCAGCACAACATGAACCTGGGGCAGATCTGTGTCGTGTGAAAGAGCCCAGTTCCAGAAATACTGTTATTAAGTGTTTTCAAATTTACTTTTGAAATCCTGGTGTTTGCCGTGGTGCGTCTGTACAGAAGGTAAATACAAGTCTGTTCAGCTGTTAGTTTCACTGTAGACCTGATACAAGCGGCTAAATGTGCCCAGTCAAGTTTGATGGTCTTTCCCATTGACAAACACAGAGCCAGTGCTGCGCATGTACGTCCTGCAGCAGCTGCCGGTGGAGCCGCTCTCGCTTTGATGCGCAGCTGTGGTTTTGAGGTTACGCACGTAAATGCTGACGTTTTGGTAATACGGTAATACCGTAAAATCCTGAGACGGTATCACGGTATCAAATTTTGGATACAGCACAACCCTACTACTCACCAAACCTTAACCTAAACCATAACTTTAACTATTTAACCCAGATCTGAACTTTAAACATGTGGTTGATTTAACCATAAAGGTTTTACATCCTCATCAGGAAGATAAGATTTGAGTCCCAACAACTGTGATAGATCCGCTCTCACACACAGGCCTTACCATAGTCCTCTCCTCGCAGGATCTCAGGGGCGATGTAGTTTGGAGTTCCACAGAACGTACTGGTGGTGTCTCCAGGCTGGATACCTTCCTGAGGAGAGACAGAGGAGACAGAGGAGAGGGATATGAGAGAGAGGACAGAGAAGAGAGGGGAGGGAGAGGAGACATAAGAATGGGGAGAGTAAGGACAGAGAGGGGAGAGATACACAGGAAAGATAGAGAGGAACGAGAGAGGAAAGAGAAGAGAGGAGACGAGACAGCAGGAGAGAGAGCAGAGAGAGAGGGAACACAGAGTGAGAAGACAGGGAGAGAGGAGAGATATGAGGGAGGAGAGAAACCAGAGCAAAGCAGAGAAGAGAGAGAGGGGAGAAAGGGGAGAGGGAGAAGCAGTACATGTCACATCTCAGAGAATAGTGTGTCCACGACTTCAAACTAGACAAACTTTAATGTTTATCGGACCCTGCACCTGGTTATGGTGTGATGTGGGGGGGTCAGAGGTTAGGGTGAGGGGGTGAGGGGGTGAGGGGGTGGTCAGACCTTGCACATGCCATAGTCTGTGAGCTTGATGTGGCCGTCGTGGTCCAGAAGAACGTTGTCCAGCTTCAGGTCACGGTAGATGATGCCCTTCTCATGCAGGAAGTTCAACGCTATACAGATCTCTGCAGCGTAGAACCTGCAGAGACAGGGAGAGAAGAGAGAGCAGGGAGGAGGGAAAAAGAGGGTTAGGACTGTCACCTCAGAGCTAAAGGAAGGCTAAAGTAAACAACAGAGGGTAATATTACTCTACTCTACTGTGCATTTGAAAAAAATAGCCAATCGAATTGGTCCAAATTGGCTTTACAAATTGGCCTCACCTCCTTGATTTCTCAGCTAAAAGCTCCACCCATAGAACAGAAGGGCCAACAGGAAACACTTGTCTCTGTTCTCCTAAGTCAGACATAATTGATTGGTAAAGTCTTGGTGTCTTGGATCTCTACTGATTTTTTACAGCAAATTTTACAGTAAAGACAGGCTCAATCAGAAGGCCTAAAAATGTATGTGTTTAATATTTAAAAGGTGAAAATGTATATTATAAATTCAACAACAGAAATTCACGGTTAAGAAAATGGCGAAATATTCGCAAGCATTAATAATGTGGTGAAAATAATCCCAAACTGCTTAACATATTGCCCCCCAAATATGTGCTCGGGATTCTAAACACACAATATCGGCTTTATCCATGTAACTGCTCTCTCCAAGTCTGTTGTTGCCATGTGGCTTTGTTAAGCCACAGTGTCTGGAGGTACTTCTACGGCTCATGTGTGGATCTGTGTCATGTCTGTACACTCACATTTCTGTACAAAGCAATCACTCCAAAAGGGAGTATAATGCTTTGAGACCTGTTCTCCCTCCTCCCCCTTCACCCCGGGCTGTTCCCACTCACAAACCATTATCTGTTTAACCTGCCAGCACTGACATGAATAGTGGAGCGCCGTACCACCCCCGCCCACCCGCAGCCACGCTCATGAATATGGAGCATCATTATCAGTGAGCACCACGCTGCTCTGCATGTGTACGGCTACACGTCTACAGCGCCAATGACAGGGGGTGACAGAGGCCCTGCCACTGTAAAGGCCTGTTTAAAGCATGTTTCATAGTCTGTTTGGAGCCTGTGTGACAGGTTTCTGTGTGACGGGCTACTGTGTGACAAGCCCCTGTGTGACAGGCCCTTGACACATACCTGGCATGTTCTTCTGGAAGTTTCCTCTGCCGCTGCATGTGGAACATCAGGTCTCCTCCATTCACATACTCTATGACGAGGAACAACCTACAGAGCACAGAGGAGAGGTCAGAGGTCAGAGCACAGAGGAGAGGTCTGAGGTCAGAGGTCAGAGCACAGAGGAGGACAGGGTACAGAGGGGGTCAGGGCACAGAGGGTTACCTGCTGGGCGTCTGGAAGCAGGAGTGCAGTCCCACTAGGAAAGGGTTTGTGGAGGCCTGCTCAAACACGTGCTTCTCCGTCTGCACCCAGTCGATGTCCTGCGCACACAGGGCACAAGAGTCACATGTAAACAAATAGGTGGCCCATTAATAATGACCTGTGGACAGAGGGAACTATTATCTGAGGAGCTGTGTTTCTCCAGTTTCTCTCATCAACCTTAAAACCTGCACAATAGGTCACATCCCACAGCTAAGGTAGTCCTGACCAAGACCGCCCCTGGTGTGGGTGAGATGGCCAAAACATCATTATTTTCATGGAGCCATAACATCATTTGGTTTGATCACAATTCATGTACATTTTGCATTCTTTTCTATTGCTTTAAAGAGGTAAATAAAATCATCCACTTCAGAAAGTTCAATTCACTGTGATTGGTTAAATCCAGGTGCCTTACAGAGGTTGACCAATAGTACCAGTAGGTTTGGAAAAGCAGCATCTGTGTTCATTTTTAAAGGAAAATAAAATGGGGCTTCTAGAAAAATACAACGACCTCTTGATGTCATCTGGATTTATTATTGATGGATAATTATACTGATATAATCCATCCGTGTGTGTATCTAGCTCATACTTGTACTTGGAGTTAAATCACTTGGTCTCTTATAGTAATAGGAAAGATATTTTAAAATGGATTAGATAGAGCCAATAGTTGTGTTATATGTTTTATCTATATTGACAAATTCTATGGGCACCATTTGCAAAATGTACTTTCTTAACTGTGCTCCAATTTGAAGGTTATGTCCCCAGTATTACACAATCTGATAACATGATCAAAATAGCAGATCTTCACAGGGATGAGTCCATGTTTGATTTTATCACCATATTTACTCAAATCTACCCAACAGCAATGAAGAATGGGTCAAATCCACAGAATGACACAGCACACTTTACCACTTGCAACAAGCAAATCAAAATCTCAATTTTCAGTTAGCACAATTATCAAATGTCAAAAGCTGAAGTATGTAAAATCCCTCAATCATCCAGGTAGAATCCTTGGCAAAGGAGAAATTCAGTTTGTCAACTGGACACACGTTTTTTGGTCAAATATGTTTCACAGCACATCTAAGCTGCTTCTTTTGAACTGAAGAACCAATTTCCTTTGCCTTCAAAAGTTGAAAGTATTTAGCTAATAGAAAGTCCTCTGTAAAGAACTTCAGATCCTGTCTTTCCTCCTCTTCCTGTCTCTGTCTTGTGCCTGTAGTTTAGTCCTCTACACAAATTTTCTGAAATGGATGGGATTGTGGGATTCAGTCTCCTCTCACATGTGAATTCTCCGGGAGTTGTTTGTAATGTGCACTCTCAACATAATACCACTTTTAAACATAAATCCTAAATCTAATCAAAATTATTTTTTTCCCCAAAATTGTGCAGCCCTACCTTATTACATAGTCTATAAGTCTTACACATTTATTGTAATAACTTGAATAACCACAATGCTGCTGGTTGTAGTCCATCAGCACGCTGCGTAAACACAGAGCCGCACCCATGTGGAGTAGGTGGGTGCAGGGGGAGGTGGTGAGGGGCTGGGCGCGTGTTTGATGTCCCAGGCTGCCAGTGCTTAGCCTAAGGGCACATGTTTTATGCCCTTTCATACCAGCCATTCTGTGTGGAGCTCTGCTGCCCATACACAGGGTCTGTCCACCCAGTGATGTCCACACGCTGCGCCCACAGTAGACCCGGGCCCCATACTGGCCCCGGAGCCCCCACCAACCCCTACCCCCCTACCCCTACTAGGTGCATGGGGGAAGCATCACTATGAGGATGCTGTGAATAGAATATAAGCTAATCAGAGTTTCTCCAGTGAAAGCGCTGGGTCCTCACACATGCTGTTTGAAGTCGGCCATAAACTACTACAGCCATGGATTATTTACGCGCGCCGTGCATACAGAAGTAAAAATATGACAGGATTAGAACTTTACTAAGAATGCCTTATGCAGATTTGAGTCTGTTTTGACACAAGATTTTACCTTTAATAAAGCAGCAGGGATGAGTTCTACAAAGTGTGGTGGAGGAAGGGCACCTCAGAGATAGTGTATGCAACAGCTCCATCTACCAGTCATCTGCTGCTATGGCAGTTTAATCAGGTGTTTGTCAGTAATTCATCAGGACATATGAAGTGCTCGTGTCCATCTTTTTAATGAGGCAGGACCTCTTGTCTCCATGTTATTTATCCACACATTTTCATCCTCACTGCATCTTTCCGAAATAGAGTACAGAGTTACTCATATAGAACTGACTAACTAAATTGGTCAAGTAAACAGAAGTTCCATTTCATCCATATTGCAGAATTAAAAATAAAACAAGCTTGTTAAAGCTTATTAAACAAAGACTAAGTAGACATAGCTAAGCCGCTATGTTCCAAACAGGAAGTAGCAGAGCCACAAATTTACTCAGGCTCCAATTCACTTTCTATTGAAAATGGTGGCCCCTCTCTGTAACTACCATACCTACCATAAGGCTCGTCATTCTGATCTTAAAATATTTGTTAACCCGCTCTACGTGATCCTAGGGTTTTTATTTCACTGTAGTTTGTCCCTAAAACCAGATATGAATTTTAATAACAGACAATCCAGTGGTCCAGAAGGGAAGGGGCATGTACTTTTAACAACCTGGCTCCTGATTGGCTCTTTGGTTACCACAAAACTTGAGCTCAGAACTCCACTGTCTCCCCTCCTGTGAGCATGCGACCATGTGCACTGACCTCATCATCATGCACCAGCTCCTTCTTCACCACCTTCATGGCGTACAGCTGCTCGTCCTTCTTCAGTCGCACCAGCAGGACTTTGGCGTAGCTCCCCCTCCCGATCACCCGCACCAGCTCAAAGTCCGCCAGCCCGAGAGACACCCCCGGAGACAGGCTCTGAGACAGGCTCTGGGACAGTCCCGGAGAGAGGCCAGGGGAAAGACCAGGGGACAGGGCTGGAGAGAGACCAGGGGAAAGACCAGGAGACAGACCGGGGGACAGCCCAGGAGACAGACCAGGGGACAGACCGGGGGACAGCTTAATGCCATCGATACCATCCACCACTGCTGAGAGCTCCTGCAGGGGACACAGACGACATGGTCATAAAAAGTACTCTTATCTAGGCTCACGTAACATCTGATGAGGTTGTGACAAAATGATTTTAGAATTGGATTTTATAATTGTGCAGACATACAGTAGCCTATCCTTTCATTCCTTTAAGAATTATGAAATATTAGGACTGTTGCAATAGTGATTGTGTACCAGATTTTTCCCATATATATGAGTCCCAGTACATACATGTTGTATAAGCAGCTCTTGAGGTCAAAATAAGTCCACTGTGTACTGTATACATCTAATTATATTGTCCAAGAAGGAAGTGTGTGTTAATAGTAATACTGCACAATACTACCCTACACTTGTATTGTGCTGTACAGGCCTGTCTTAAAGCCCTCCACTGTGTCAAGCTGTGTCAAGATTCCCAAGCGGCGCAATCGGCCCCTCTGACCACAGCCAATCACTCACACACACCACTTTCATATTAGGCAAGTTGGTGAGGTGTCTTGCCTAGGGACATTGATTCTCTGACCTTCAGGCTGGGCGACCACTAACCACTGAGCCACTATCACTACATGTTAGCATGCTAGTTGCTGTTAGCAATACTACAACGGCAAAACTCTGTTCTTGTCTGAGAGTTGTGATATAAACTCATGCTGAATAATTAGGATGCTGCGAATGTATAAGGTAAATGAAAAAGAACTCTGGGCCACTGCAAACTGTTTAAAATAAACTAGTTCTGTTCTGGTTCAGATTTTAAGACAGTAAACTAATTACATCTTATGAATGGGGACACAATGTTGCCTATAACAGGAAGCTGAAAACATGAATACAACTGAATGTTTCTGCATATAACAGTATATGGGAATCAAAATGTGTTTTTTTTTTATTGTTCACAAATAAAGTAAGTATTGAAATCTGTGGAACTTGTTCCTCGCTCAGATGTTTTGGCACATTCCTCGTCTCATATAATTCATTGTTGTAGTTTCGTTATCACAAACATACCCAGAGTTCTGTTTTATTTCTTGCACACATGTTTAACACACAAACGCTGCATATTTAGGCTTGCAATGTCATGTGACAGGAAGTGCTCCACTGTGTTTTTAAATTTCACTAGAATCATTTGGATGATTTCAACCCTAGAATTGCCTATGAACTAAAGGTAAAAGGTAAACTTCATGACATCACAAGGTGGAACAGAGCATTTTGAGGGTTACTAAAATGTGTGAATGAAACAAAACACAACCCCGGGTCTGTTTTTAAGGTAACAACATTCTAACATGACTTAAAGCTCACAGGGGTCAGTTCTGTGTAATATATATATATATAATATATAATATATTTTAAAGTTTTTTAAATACAACATACTAGTATATTGATACTTTGCAGTGACATCAAGTTGAGGATGTTCTGCATGTATCTCTCTGGGGAAATGTTCAGCAATTACCATGGTACCAGGCACACAAATCAGCAAACACAGCTAAAAAACGTTTAAGATTGTCTGAAAACTAAAGCAAATAAAGACAAATTGGATTTAAACAACACATTTTCAGGAGTGTGTGATCAAGTGTTCAAAGTCCTGTTTAGGAGTTTGACTGGAAAACTGTTGTCTAATGCTAGCGAGCCTGCGACTGTAATGTTATTTTAGAGGGACTAGTTTAACAGACTGACTCAGCCCTTTCTGGTCAGACTGTGTTAAAACAAAGCTCAGATTAAAGTCTCCCTCGAGTAACAAAGCCTCAGACAGAGCAGTGCCTATATTAGCATTACAGCCGCAGGGAATGTTGATGACATCAGCTGCAAAGCATTAATAGAGGTAATTCCATGACTGTTACCTTGCAATCATGCTCTAAACAAGGGTCAAATGTTGTTTCATTCAAACAATAGTTACTGACAGATGGACACAAATGACTTTATGTTTGATGAGTGTTTAAACAATCAAAATGTGTTCCCTGTGTGTAACTTGTCTTAGCATTTTGGGTGGAATTTTTTATTTTGCGGACAAAGACTGATTCCCTTTAAAAACTCTGTTTCCTGTATTTATTTATTTCTACTTTTTGGGTTCAGCATTTTTTCACCAACTGCCACTGGCCTGATGTAAATCTATGGATAGGTACAATCCCACTAAACAAAGTCTTGTGACATGAAATCCTTGGTTCATTTGAGCGGGCAAAGAAGACCTTTACTTTGTGTCAGGTTTTGTTTCATCATAGCTCCAGTTATTACAGAAAATATATACTATAAATACTATAAATATGGCTTAAGAAGTTTCACCTGAGTGTGCTGGTCCTCCGTTTTGTCCACGGTGCAGTTGTGTGGTATAAACGAGACTGAAAGACAAGGGAATAAAGAGACTGATTTTAATCTCATTTACATCAATATGAAGTGGGTGAAGCAGTAGAAGGTCATACACAGGGACGGACATTGTTATTGTTGTTCATCATCTTGTCCACTAGAGGGAACAGTGCAGCTGGGCTTCATCTCAGAACCAACCATATTCTTACTATGAATCTACTACTAAACTACTAAAAGCTGGCATTGGTATTTAACAGTTTACAGTTTAAAGCATCCCTATTTTGCCAAATGGACTTTTCAAAGCTTTTATCTATGTTATAATTGTTTCCTCTCACTATTCACTCCCCCAAAATTGTATTTAATATGATTTGTGCATGTTTGATCAATCTTGAATCACTTATTCACTCATTTCTCTGCCATGCATTCTACCTGGATGACTGAGGGATTTTACAAACATAAGTCCTTTGCAATTAAATATTTGCCTGTTTGTTTGTTATGTTTTAGTCTCTTTTAGATGTTTTAGGAGCTACTGTTGTAGCATCCTTATAGTCCTACTTTAAATCTGGTTTAGCCCTAGTTTAGACTGGAATAGTCCTGTTATAGGTTTGGTTCAGAAAGAACCACAACACTTATAATTTTAAAGTAAAAGTGAGGGACAAAACACAAACTGGCATTTTCCAAAAAAGGATACACACAAATGTTGAAATCATTTCATACTGTCACATAAAGCTTTTGTCACTTTAGACTCACTCACAGTGGAAAGAAAAACTGCAACTTTGAATCAACTAAGAGTACTGTTACACAGCACAATATACTATTACTCAAGTAAAAGTAAGAAAAGGGAGAAATACTAAACCCATCACATACTTCCATCTCTGCCGTCCATGTGCTCTGGGGGGACGTCCTCCTCCTCGGCCCTAGAGTCTGCAGGAGAGGGCATGCCTGGATCCTGGAGGAACACATTCAATAAGCCCCTTAGATACCCACACAAGAAGCCACCCAGATACCCACAGAAAACCCCAGAGAGGGCCTGGTGGTGCAGCAGCGTAAGGAGGCCCATGCTGGAGGAGTGTGTGGAGCTGTGTGTGGAAGTGTGGGGTTGCTGTGATCTTGGGGCCCTCAGCAGTCCACTCTGACCCGACCCCTGTGCCTTATCTGGGCCCCTGCACACAAAGCCTGTCAGATACTGGTCAATAATGCACTCACTTCACTCACACATTGATTATTTAGTCAAGAGGAGCCTTTGTGACATGTGGAGGAGGTTTGAGAGAGGAGAGCTGCTTTGGGGCATGCTAAGGTGTAAAGTGCATGTGAAAATGACGAGGGACTGACTGAGCCTTGCTCAGGTCTCACCAGGCTTTTTCCCTCTGCAGTATATGGGCCAATGTGCAGAGTAATAGAACTTACAGTGAGGTACTCTCTGAGGTACTATTCAATGAGGCCATTTCTGTGAGGTACTCTCTGTGTTAATGTTTTGGTTCTGAATTGTATATTTTATCAGTTCCCCAAATACTTGGTGTCTCCTCCTTCATCTTTCTGTAACACACTGGGACTGACTGATGTGAGAGTCTCTATGCTCTGGAAATATCATCTGGGACAGAGTGCTCTGTATCAATAAACAGGAGACAGGAGACCTGCCATTGTTTTGCTAACACATCTGCTCCACATTTAAGTCTGGAAATGCAGCGCTTTATCACAAGATCAAGTGCTTATGATTTTCTGTGTATATCTGCTTTTTGTCTCTTGGTTCAATTAGCTTAAGAGTACCTGGAGCCAAAGAGAGCCAGACCACTTTGGAAGAAACTCAGAATCTCAGGGGACCTCAGGGGCCAGTACAGTTCACTTTAGACAGTGGAGACGCTTTCAGACCAGAACAATCTGCTCCAAAGTGAACCAATAGAAACCAGTGGAAAAAGTCTTTTGTTGCACTCTCTGTTTTCAGGCCGGTCAGAACGGTGCTGGTGTTGGTTCCCGCACCAGTTCCACTGGGAACCAATGTGCTCACAGGTGAACGACCTGCGTTCAAAGCATTTACGTGAACCCATGACACATCATTGACAGAGGGTGTGGATTTACCCCAAACAAAAACAAGGCCATACAAAAACGGATGAAATAACAATCATGGATCGCATCATCGACACCAGCGAGCATTTGTACTTATACAAGTCATTCTTTATGTGCACCAAGCTCTGCTACAACATCCATCTGCTGTGGAGAAGACGACAGCGGCGCCCAATCCAAACATGTAATCTTATCAGGCCAACACGGACACATGCAACATGAACAGTATGTAATAGTTTCTGTAGACTTAAAACTTTTAATTACATATGTGATAGTTGTAATTGCTCTTTGTTTATTTTACTGCGTGTGACCCGGATGAACGTGCTGACGTCTTCTGTGTCGTCATGGTTCGCTTAGAAAAAACAAGTTTTACTTGGTTCCCGCTCTGATTTCCGGCGTGAACACTTGAGTCGGTTCAAGATTAGGTGCGGGAACCGGCACTGGCATGGTTCTGTCAGCCTGAATATGCCTTGTGTGGTAGTCTCTCTGTGTGGTACTCTCCCTTGAGGTACTCTTGATGTGGTGTGTGACTCTCTGTTCAGTGCGATGCTCTCAAGGCTCCCAGCAGGGTGCTCCTGGATGTGGGTACTCACCATGCGCCCGGGGCAGGTCTGGGAGTAGAGTCGGTGGCAGCGCTTATGCAGCAGCAGTCTGCAGCTGATACACTTGTAGCCTTGAGCGGTCAGCCCCCATATCCTCTCAGCGCAGTGGGCACACGAAGCCTTCTAGAACACACAGGTCAAAGAGATTCACAGTAGATTCAAGGTTCTGTTTTTCCTTTGTATTCCCCTGACTGTTCACCTGTCAGGCCTCCTGACTGTTCACCTCCCGGCCAGGACAGCAGACTGCCCCTGGTCCAGCTGCAGCTCAGTGTCGGTATTATTGCTGTGACACTCACACAAGGACCAGAGCTCTGCTGCTGGGGTGAGCGCCTTTGAAGGCTGCACACAGACCACCTGTTCACACATATTTATGAAGGGAAAAGGCTGTGGTCACTCCGGCGTCTGGCAAAAATACAATCCAACTGAATTGATCAGGAGTGCTGCACCACCGGACTGCATATGTGCGCCTTGAGCTCCTCTCTCTTTTAATTATACAGAAATCTCAAGGCTAGTGGACTAGAGCTGCCCGGGGTCAGTGTGGTACTCTCAGTGTGGTACTCTCAGTGTGGTACTCTCAGTGTGGTACTCTCAGTGTGGTACTCTCAGTGTGGTACTCTGACCCTGTGTATCATTATGCCTCCCTCTGTACACAGTGGACAGACCATAAGCACACTTGAGTTTGTGAGTTAGTGCTTAGATGACAACATTTGTGTATTTGTGTACTCACAGATCACAGTTTATTTACTTGTTGCTTTATTTATTCGTTTGAATTAGGACAGTTAACAGTGAGTAAAAGCTGTCTGAGGAGGACAGATTGTGTTATTGTCACTTCAGGGCAACTGTTCTAAAATAATGTCACTCTAACCCTGAACCATCTTGTGCACTGCAGGAGAGTGTGAAAATGGGTTGGAAGAGGCTTAGAAGATCAGTGCCCAACCCCAGACATCGACCCATTTTAGCCTAAAGGCCTAGCCTAGTCCTGCTTTAGCCCTGGGTTAGACCTGGTTAAGTCCTGGTTTAGTCCTGGAGTAGACCTGGTTTAGTCTTGGTTTACTCATGGTTTACATCTGGTTAAATCCTGGGTTAGACCCGGTTCTAGTTCTAGTTCCAGTTCTGGAGTAATCCTCTAGTATTAGATTATTAGATTATTAGATTGAAGGTTTTTGAAGGTTAATGGTAACACCTCTCTGTCCTCTCTGACATTCATGGACAGTGGTTAGTGCGTGCTTGTGAGGAGAGGTCAGCAGTGATGTGGTCAGTAGCTCACCCTGTTAAAGCGCTTGGCCTGGAAGAGATGTCCGTGCACGTGGTACAGCTTCCTCCATCTCCGAGCTCCGCGCCGGTAGATGGACTCTGCACAGACAGACAGGGCACAGCGGTCAGCAGAGCAGAGGTCACTATGATCAAGAACTGTACAACCTGCCCAACTTTAAACAACTCAAGGGCAGTTCTTCTGACCGAGTCCCCTGAGGACGGCTGCTTTATGGGGTTGTCTGCCTGACTCATGACACACACTCACCACACACTGAACCAGAACATGGACAACATAAAAGCATCACACAGACGACATCCAGGTCAGCCAAGAATACACACTTTTTCCTGCCCTATACAATAAGGGAAAAATACACTGGTCTGAAAGGAGAATCAATGAAAGAAACTTGTACACGCACACTAAAAGTCTGATTATTATCAGATTTCTGGAGCTTAAAAATGACATGTAAACTGCAAAATCCTCTGATTTCTTTTAGGTGATGCCCACTCTGATCGCATCTGATCTCACATCACATTTGACAGTTTGCATCACCTCAGGTCGAGAAATCTGATTCTAATCAGAGTTTGTGTGCATGTAAACATAGCCACTGAAATGAACAAGCCTGATTGGATGGCCCTGTCTGAGTTTGACCTGGATTTACCAAGCAACAAATACAATGAATGAAACCAAGTTTAAAGATGAACACATGTGGTTGTTAATGTTTCCCATAAATGTAAGTCGTGATCATGTGTATAGATCACAGCTGTGCTCTGTGCTCATTTTTACAGCTTACAGTTTAGAGATTAACCCCCACTAGAGGGAGCCCCGTGCTCTGCACCACTGTCTGAGCCCTGCTGTAAAGAGCGCTTCTATTTTTAGCATCAGTCCAGCTACTGGAGCATGAGCTGAGGTCCCTGTGGAGCAGGAGAGGTCCTCCTCACTGAGGCCGGTGCACAGTGTCACCTTCACTGTTCTCACTCAGCACTCAAGTACACCAGCTCTCACACACATCATTCATATACACTGCTCACACACGCCGCTCTCACACACGCCGCTCTCACACACGCCGCTCTCACACACGCCGCTCTCACACACGCCGCTCTCACACACGCCGCTCTCACACACGCCGCTCTCACACACGCCGCTCTCACACACGCCGCTCTCACACACGCCGCTCTCACACACGCCGCTCTCATCACTCATAATGTCAATTCACTCAATAACCATTAAAAACAAAAGCAAGTCACCAATCTGCAGATCAAAACAGTAACTTGGTGGTATCACCTGCTCGTCTCCATGGAGATAGACATATTTAATGCCAAGTACAAATGAGGCCTTTCCTGTTGTGTTCACCTGCTGTTAAACTGCACTGAGACATGCATGCCTCCTCCCCCTGCTCTCACCTCCATCACCCCTCCCTCCTCCTCCCCCTCCCTGCTCTCCCTCACCTCTCCTCCCTCTCTCCTCCTCTCCTCACCTCCTCCTCCTCTCACCTCCTCCTCCCTCTCTCCCACCCTCCCCATCTCCTCCTCCTCCCCCTTCTCCCCGTGTGTATCAGCTGGCTGCAGACACTGGGAGGCTGTGTAAGCATTTTCAGCATTCTTTCACACAGTGTCTGTGTCCACTCCAACATAAAGTGTGTTTTATCAGACATGAGACACTGGCACTGTCCACAAGAGAAAACAATTTTTCCTTAAGGTCCTGAGCAGTTTATCACTAAGGCTTTCATATCGTTTCCTAATAATACATGGAAAACCATTCAAAAGCAGTCACTTTTATATACAGAGTAAGGTTTGTATATTTTAGAAGTACTTGTTATGCATACAATACTTGACTTAAAATTAGTGACTTTGTTAATGTTAATTACAGATCGACCAATAAGGGTTTTCCATAGCTAATCTAATTAGAATCCAGAGCATAGACAGCCACAGCCCTTTGTACCACAAACCCAAGGAACCAAGTAGTCACATTTTGTGTTCTTCTCTTCTTATTTATGTGCCAAAATAAAACTTTGTGTGTATTTTTAGGCAGCAGATTAACCAAAACAAAATATCAGCCTGATGGTGATGGTGGATTAAGGCTGAGAGTCAATTGGCTAATAAATCCAAATATTGGTCTATCACTAATGTTAATGACTGGATCATTTGAGTTTTTGCACTGCTCCTTCAGACAGGATTTACTGAAGATGTTTTGTCTGTGTGATTACATTAACTCCTAAATCAGATTTTAAAAACATTTCACTTAAAACTATTTACTTTTCACTTTGTTATTCTCACTTATGGAACTATTAGAGTCACAACGTTTCCATCTTATTATATTTTAAACTCTACTCTTCCTTCTGCTCTGTCCTCACCTCTGTTTATACACACATACAGCTGGTGAGGGCCTGGACTGAATCAAATGAGACTAAAAATGCTTCGGCGGCTTTATGAGCTCTGAAATGATCAGTTGCAGAGTCTGAGAAAGGAAGGCACCACGTCATGACATGGGCAGATGGAACAAGGTGTTTTCAGCCCAGAAAAAGCCTTACATGCAGAACTACTGTGTGATTGAAATCAACACTCCAGGTACGTTTTAGATGAGGAAAAGACATTATACCATATAGATAAACGTTCCATCTAGAAGACTCAGAGAAATGCTCCGTGTGAGTCCAGCGGCCACTAGATAAGGTTAACGTTAAGGTACACTGCATTTGACCCATCCTTCAGTGCCTCTGGGGCGTCTCCTCAGGATGGAGATATATCATTTCCAGTACTGGTATCAATCAATATCAATACAGATTCTCCTGTATAGGCTAATATTGATACTTGATGCCCACAGTCAATACCGATATTTTTTGTGCTGCCCCATGCCCATTATGGCTGTATCCCAGGAAAATACATTTTGTTATTATTTTTTTTTAAAGTGAACAGTAAATTTATGTTGTTTACTTTAACTTAAGATACATTTGGGGGCTTTACTATTGAATTTAAAAGCTAAATATCTATCAGTTATGAGCCACAGCAGCAAGCCAAATATCAAATATCGTATCGGCTCAGTAGTACTAAGTACTAAGTACTAAGAAATAATGTATTTACATAAAGCTCCTTGAATCAAGAGTTTAATCTGCCTTTTTTGCAAATAAATACAGACAAATACCAGATCTTTAGCTCACTCACTTCTCCTTTCTGCTGTTGTCCCACATAAATCCTTATCATGTAAATAAAATGATGAGTTCACTAATAATCTTGGTGGACTCAGACTCCCTGGGCATATACCCGCCCCTCTCTTTGGGCACAATGCTCCGTATTAAAATAACTGCAGGATAAGTGTGTGCAGCCATTGTGCTGAGAGTGGCACAGCCTGTTACATAAGGCCCTGCTCTACCTGGGCTTCCTCACTCTACACACACACACACACACACACACACAGACGCACACAGTCACCCGGGTGCTTTCAGGTCTGTCAGGCTCATCAGGGTCAAATATGGGCAAGGCCTACACTGCCAGTCAAAAGTCTGAACACACCCTCTCTTTAATGTTTACCTTTACTACTTTCTACGTTTTAGACACATACAGAATACATACAAATATACAAAGAAAGATATGGGGAATTATGTAGAAAACACAATAAATAAATAAGTAACTCAACTACATATGTTTTATATTTTGTATTTAAATCCTCAAAGTATCCACCCTTTGCTTTGTTGACATTACTGTAAACCCTAGGCATTCTCAAGGTGATCTTCATGACGAAGTTTCCTGAAATGGTTTTCACTTCACAGGCGTGCCATGTCATGGTTAAGAATCATCAAGAGTGCAAAGCAGTGATCAAAGCAAAGGGTACAGGCTCTTTAAAAAATCTTAAATCTGAAACAAGTTGGGAGTTATTCTTAGTGTATATTTTGTTTCCTACATTCCATATGTGTGATTCATAGCTTTGATGCTTCAGTGAGACTCTATAAAATAAATAATCATGCAGATAAAGTAACAGAAATGAAAAAGAGTGTCCAAACTTGACTGAGTGTATATGTGTATATGAAACTTCCTGCATTTTGCTGGCACTGCACATATACAGAATAGTTACACTGCAGACGGTCTGATCCTATCCATGGGTTTCAGAATAATCAAATATTCAGACTGTTGCCATAGAAATGAACACTTTAAATGATTCTTTTGACTGGTGAAAAGTCCTCAAAATGTTACACAGATGTATGAAACTGGAACCCATAAATACATGGGTTTCAGATTCTAGAATGCGATGTCATACTCTAAGATGGGGGCAAGAGACAGTTTGTCCAACTGATAATTTTGTATTTTCCTACGAAATATCAGACAATATCAGATAAGATAAATGTTGAACCAGATCATTTCTATTAGTGATGAGACCCTAGAACCTGCTATATTTGAACAACAATCTTCATGTTAACACTATTCATTTCAGCTGACTGCATGTGTTTTATGTTTTATTTAATATAGGGCAGCAGAATACTGTGATGTCATCTGAAATTCAGCAATTCACTCTTTGGATTTAACAAGTTCAGATTCCATAAACCCCAGGAAGTGCCACAGTGCTTTTCCAACACGCAAGTCATCACCAATACTGCTTGACTTCCCAGGATCCAGACTAGTTCTCTGTATGTTCTCCATTGAAGACATAGACGATAAATTAAGTGGACTAAGCAGGTGTGACATCACCCACAGTGTTCAGCGCCACTCAAATGAGGCTCGCGATGTTAATGGTTACAGGGGCAAATTTGGATTTTTTTTGACAGACAAAATTGCAAAAAAATAATTCAGGATCACGTAGCTAGGGTTAATATGAACATTTTAAGACCAAGGCTCACTGCAGCAGGTACAGAGAGAGGAGCCACCAGATCCTAATGTAAGTCCATTGGAGCCAGGGTCAGAAGGATCCAGAAGAGCCTCCTGGAGAACTTCCTATTTGGCACGCGGCGGCTGGTGCACTAGCTATGTCCACTCATATATGCAGTCTGAATGATTCTGAAATAATGCATACCGGGTTCCGCTCCCATCACAGCACTGAGACAGCCCTCCTCCGAGTCACCAACAACCTCCTGTTCTCCTCCGACTCTGGCAGCCTCAAAATCCTCATCCTCCTG